TTAACTAATTATCATCATCTTAATGAAACAACAACAATTAACACACACACTAATAGTGATTAAAATTCAATGATTGTAATAAATATAAATATGATTAAAGGAAAACAATTAAAGTTGATTGTTAATAATAAAGTTTACAAAAAGTATAACAATTTAACTGTAACAGAAACGTTATTATTAAGTTATCACAATTTGATTGATTGATTGATTGATTGATTGATCAATTGTTGATTGTAAGTGATAATATTTTAATATCAATTGATTTTAATCAACTATTATAATCAGGTAGGTCGGTAATTGTGATTGTGTTGATTAAAGGTAAATAAACAAAAAGGTTATTCATTAAGTTAATTGTTGTCAGTTTATATATTAAATTAATAAGATTTGATGAATAACATTCAATTGTGATGATAATTGTTGATTAAGATGTTAAAATGTTTAATCAATGTTAATCAAATCAAGAAAAAAAGGTGAAGTAGTTTAAGCTGATTATCGGGCTAAATGTTAATCAACTAAATTGTTGTGTTGTTATAACAACAATTAACTTTAATTCTGGTTGTAATAGTTACGCACGATTTGTTGATTATCCCTTGTTGTTAACTTTGTAATAATATATAAGTTAATTCTGTGAAATGATTAACTTAATTGTGATTAAAAAAATCACAATCATTTGCAACAATTAAAAACTGGTTTGTTGTTTTCCTTTTGATTCTCATTTTGTATGCTCAACTTTTGTTAATTGTCTTCATCAATCAATTGGAAATCAAGTAAAAATTAACTTTTCATTTACCATTTTAATCATGTTTAGGTTTTGGGTAACAATTTAACAACAATTTAGTTAATCATGTTTTAATATCATAATCAACAAAACCATGTTAATCAAATGATTAACTACAGATGATGATGTTAATTGTAAGAAACAAAAAAAACTTAACTACTTTTTATCAACAATTAACATCGTTTAAACAACAACGTCAACAATTAACGGAAAAGTTAATTGTTACAACATGAAATTAGTTGATTATCACAAGGAAAACTATTGATTAGATTGTGATTTGATTTTCTATCAGCTATTAAATCATATTTTTATATTTAATTTTGACTTTGATGGTTGTACAATTAATCAAATCTGCTACCAAGTGTATTAATTAACTTAATTAAAATTAAAAGTGTAATCAATTGATTTGATTAAGTAAAGGGAAAAACTTTTTCCAACCAACTAAATTGTTCACACTTTTCACCTTGATTGTAAAATCTCAATCAATAAGATGATAATAATTATCTTGATCATGATTTAGCAATTGAAATGAAATTTAGTTAAGAACAGAAAACAATTTAACTTAACCAATTAATAGATATTGGATCATGATTAAAATCAATCGCCTCAGGTAATTATTATCAACTTGGTGTCAACTAATTAAGATGATCCACCTTAATGAAATATATATTTCACAGAAAATTAACTTTTCTTCATCTTAATCATCTTTATCTTCATCATCATCATCATTTGATAATCTTAATGATAATGTTGAATCTAAGGCGCACCTAATCAACTTGGTAATTAACTGATTATCATTACTGTGATTTCCTTGATTTAAGGTTTGAATAATGTTTAATTATCGTGTAAACAATTAAATCAACAACAATTACAACCCCTTTCCAGCCCACGTATAACCTCAACCTGGTTAATTGTTGATCTAATCAATTGAGACTGAATCACAATAATTAAACGTTTAAACAATTTACCATCACAATCATTAATAACTTTGCTAATTATTTGATGTCTGATTAACTGGAGAGACAAGAATCAGAAACAAAAATCATCATAAACAACAACAACGTAATCATTTTAATTATTGACAATTAGCTAATCGTTAATAAATGATAGTTGTAATAATCATCTAATTGTAAAGTTAATATTAGAAACAATTGAATCTAATTGAACAATTAAACTGATCAATAGTTTTCTATATGTTTTCATTTGGATTTTCATTTTAACAATGAAATTCATTGAGTCCATTAATCCAGATTAATTGTTGATTGTTGATCTTGATTGTTAATCTTGTGGTTTTACTACATTAATACAAGATCATTTATCTGGTATTTTACAGTTTCACACCGGAAACGGAACCATGGGTTTATTGAAATTGAGAAGAGGAAGAAAAAAAGTTTTCAATTGTTCTGTCAATTTGATGATTATCATTTCTAAATAGTAAAAATAACAACGATCAACAATCAACTTAATTGTTTAAGAAAATGGTTAATGTTTGATGTTAATTATTGATTGTGAATTGTTTTCAGTTGATTTCAATTTTTTACCAATTCATTTGAATAACTAAATTCAAGTGAAATAATTGTGACAATTAAGTCTATTGTTGCAAATCATTTGGGTGTTAATTTTGTTGCCTCTTGTAATCAGTGAGCTACAATCAGTAAATTGTTGTTGATCAGAGAGATGATATATTTTTATAAATTGTTTTCGTAACAATTTGGTTGATTGTTCATTTTTTGTTTTCATCAAAAAACACTTTGGGACAATTTATTAATTGTTAACACCTCAATTGAGCAAGAAGGTATTTTAATCACAATTAACATTTCTAATGTGTGTAAATTGCTTGTTGATTATCATTATGATTTACCCACTCGACTAGGATCTGCTTTTTTTTCATGGTAATTAAATTAAATTTAATTCAGTTTGCTACCAATTCAACCTTGTAAATATTATTGTTAATTTGGTGGAGAAATATTTTTCTAGATGAGTTTAAATTGTTTAAAACCGTTAAACAATTAACAAATTATCCGAAGACATATTTATGGTAATAGGATGAAGATGATTAATTGTCCTGTTGGTAAATCAAAACTATGACAGAATTTAAATTGCTAACAATTAGCGACAATCAAAAGGAAAAAAAGTTTTTTTCTTTCAGGAAAAGTTTCCAAAACTCAAACAAATTCAATCATCGGATTAGTTGATTAATCTTAATCTGCGATAGAATCAAAAAGGATAATCTCTCAGATGAATTTTCAAATGAATAGGTTGATGGGAGGAGGGAAAATGTTGGTCGGTGGGTTTATTTTTGTCTTTCGATGTTCCCACCGGTGTCAAGAAAGAAAAGAGAAGAAAAAAACATTCGAACAACTTTTTTTCCATGTAACCTTAACAATGACCATTTCTTTCTGAAATGAAATGACCTTATCACCTTAACCGCCCACCCCACCAGGTAACATGGTCAGTGTACCATATCAAAGGTAAATATTGAGGTTCATTTACTATTTCCCACCTTCCCATTTTTTACACCTTTGCTTTACCAACAACAACGTACAATTTACAATCCAATGTCTTATGACCTTCGACATGTCCACTTCATTGTCCAAAGTTTAGGCCAATAGAAGAGCCCAAAAAACAATAATCGTCCAATCAAAGGTAATCAATTGGACCTTCAAGATTTACCTTTAATTGTCAACCAAAACTGAGTCACTATCTATAAACAATTATCTTCATCATCAATAAATCTGATGGTTGATTAAATATCAGTTTACTTGTAATTCAATTCCACTTATATCATGTCTCATCTTCATCATTGGTGGTGTTCACTTGTTGGTGTAGATGAAGATGATGATGAAGATGAAGATGAAGATGAAGATGAAGATGAAGATGATGAGGATGAGGATGAGGATGGTGATTATAAGGTCCACTAGTTGAAAAATCCCACCTCCATTTGTTACCTTTGAAAATTTATCATTTTTTTCGTGTCCATTGGTGATGTTAAATTGCTATTGGCTGTAAATTAAATTAGTTTATCAACCAATTGATTGTGGTTTCTTGTTGACAATTTATAGTTATAAATATAATTGTAATCAATTAAATTGACTGGAAAGTATATGGTTGGAGTTTTTTTTTCTAGTCGTTGATTGTTGATTGTATTACCTTTGATTGTTATTACAATGATGATAATTTAAGTTTCCATTACAATGAAATTGATATTATGTTGGTTTTTTTTTACTTTACAATTTATTTAATCAACTAAATTTGATATAGAACTCATATAGGATTTATATATTGATTGTATTCTGTTAATAATGTTTACTGTTTGATCAACTAATTGAGTTTACATTGATAACAATTAAAAGGTTACTCTTTTTTTGTTAGATTAACTGAAAGTTGAACAAATTTTCAAAACTTTTGAATTGAATTAAATTTGATCATCAACTGATTTCATCTGATGATGAGATAGATTGATTCAAGTGAAAGTTAATTGCTCATTGATATTTCAGTTAATTGTTAGGCTGATGGTTCACTGAATTTATCATTATTATTTTCAACTATTATTATGATTAATTTGTTGAAAAGTAAATTTTTTTCACCAATAACTAATCATTATACAGTCTACTGATCAGTTAATTACAATTTAAGGGCTAATTGTTAACACAAACAATTATTTCAACGATAATCAACATATTGATTATAGTTAATGATCAAAATTCATCATTCACAATTAAATGTAAATGATTGTCGTTTATTGCGACAAATTATCAGTTAATTGTTTTCTGTTAATTGTGATCGTAAATACAAATTGTTCAAGTTGAAGATTCCTTTAGGTTGACAATCAAATTGTTTCTAATCCTTAATCATCCTCTCAGGTTTTAGATTATTATCCTTTGTGGTTAACAATTAATATCATCGAATTGGGATTTTGATCAATAGTAACTGATTCCTTTGGGTCAATGGTCATTTTGTAGTTAAATTATAATCCAAAGTCTCGAGAGATTCACTAATGATTAAAGAAAGAAAATAATTAGAATCAAGTTAAATCAGATAATATTACAATTCGATTAGAAAAACAAAATTGGAGATTTTTTTTGTTCTATTTTGGTCAAATGTTACTCTTTTTGTTTATTGTTTAGAAAACAATCTACCGATTATCATAACCAATGGTTATCGGATTAATTTGTTTCTTTGTTTGTTACTTGAAAATAATGACAAGAGCTAATTCACAAGATAGAATGAAAAGAAAAGGTAGAAAAAGATTCTTATTCTCTTCCTCTTCTTCCTTTTTCTAGGGATGTTTCACAATCGATTGGTATAATTATCATCCATAGCTCATTGAATGAAAAGTATTCTTCTTTTACATTGATATCTTGAAGAAAGAGAGAGAGAGAAAGGAAGGAAGAGAGAGGAAGAGAATAGAAAGAAAGTGAGAGCAGGGAAAGAGAAAAATTTGGATCGGGTATATAATTCATTTCCTTTGTTTTCCAATATTATTATTTGATGAATCCAACCAATTAACAGATGATTCTCAGAATATTATCTCGTGTTGAATATTTTTCTCTTGTTGGTTTACATTTTTGGAAGATTTTTTTCCTTGAGCTCCGTCGATTGATTGTTCAATTTCTTGGATCATATTATGAATCACATGGAAACCATGAGGTGATAACGGTGGTATATAAATGTTTCTTTGTTGTCTTTGTAATCATTGTAAGAAAACAGTTTACACTTTAAAGTACAATAGGATGTCCCAGGTAAAATGTTAAATCCATACGGTAATCAGCTGATTCAAGTTGTTTTTTTCTGCGAATTAATTCGCAAGGGAAAAGAAATAGAGTTTAGGCTGTAGTAGATAGGGTGAATGATAGGATCTTCGATAATCATAAAGCGATCACAAAGGGTAAAGAAAGAAAAATACATGGAGAGAAACAAAAGAGAGAGAGAGAGAGAGTGAAAGAAGAAGACCAGAGGAAAAGGGAGAGGAAAAAGACGGAGATTTTAGTAGGTGAATATACTCCTTGGACGATGGATATTCTCATGAATCAGTATCTGGGTCTGGATCTTCATCTTTATCTTCTTCTGTAGAGTTATTTGACGAATTCTCTGTTGTTTTGGTTGATTTAAAAAGAGCTAAGATTCTTTCCACCCTCCTAACTCCACTTGGGGTCATTATGTCCTGTAGAAAAGAGAGAGAGAGAGAAATAGAAAAAGATCAACATTAGTAAAAATATTTATAGTAAATCGATGAAATTATGAAATAGGAAAAAAAGAGAGGAATAAGACACAATCGTTACGTGATTTTTGTCAGATTCCTGATAAAAAACATTGAGAATACAAAGTAAAAGTAAATAGAGAGCAGGAAGAGATTTCATGATAGAGAGAAAAGTGCAAAATCATTTAGATCAATCATCAATGTATATCGATTCACCGAAAAGGTTAAAGATTATTATCACATCAGAAAGAAGATAATCTTCGTTCTTAATATACGAAAAATCATCATTTTTTTTTTACTTTCTTTTCTCATTCATTTCTCTTTTCTTTCAGAAATTGTATGAATGTGTTCAGTTCAAATGTTTGCTTGCACCAGTGATTTAAATGACATGAACGGTTCACTGATTCAATGTTGATAAACAGGTTAACAAGCAAGGTGATCAAGGTGAGTGTAGAGAAGAGACAATAGAATAAAAAATTGTGAGTGTAAAATTTGATGAGATACAAAACTATTAACGAATTATCAAAGTTGATTGTTTGATCAATAAGTTCAAATATTACTGATAGTAAATTGAAAAAAATATCAGAATCAACTTGTAACCAAAAATAGAGACATGAACTATTCAAGGTAAACATAATAATAATTATAACAGTAAATGAAAATCTAACAATCTAAACAAATCAATGAATATTTTTGCTTTACCTACACAATCAAAATAAATAAATTATCTCGATTACTGATTACATAATAATCTTGTTTCTACTCTATTCTCAGACTATGAGTACGTAGTTGACTACAAGTGCTAATTGTGTATAACAACAATCAAGGATAGAAAATAACATGTTATATAAATGGATATTTATATGGATCTCATGTCATTTATGTAAAGAGAAGAAGGAAGAAAAAAAAAAGAACAACAATCAGCGACAATTGTTACCATGAAAAGGTTAAAGGTTGAAACCAGAAGAAACAAAACTTACGGCTAAATGAGTAAATTCATGAAGCTTGGTGAGAACATCAATCATTTTCTCAAATCCTTGAGAAGGTAGAAAATTCTTAATCATGTCGCAATACTGCATATTCTCCTTTATACCGCAACCAATGAGTAATGATATGCAGGCAGCTATTATACAATGTTCCATGTGTTTACCAGATTGAGCTAGAACCTGATTTAATAGTGTATCTTGCATGGCTTCGGTCAGTGGTTTGTCTTGGTGTGAATCCAGTAAAAGGTCGGCTTCTTTATCGGTTTTTTCGGCTTCTTCGCATCTCTCTTCAAATATAGCGATTAAACGTTTAACCTTGAAAGCGCTATCCATTAGCTCTTCTCTTATGTTTACACAGTATTCAACAAAATTGATCTCTAGGCACAATAAAAGTACTATTAGGTCAAATCGAGAATCTGGAACAGTAAATGAAGGTAGTTCAAATAAACATTCCAATAGAAGTTGAAATAATCCGGTAAATGAGCCAACTTTGTAACAACCTTCACTTGATTCTGAGGTAAGGTTGGTTAATACTCTCAATATGGACAATAGAGTGGACAATTGGGATTGGGATTCCGTTATGAAGATTATACTGTTCTTGAGATATTTGATTAATTCAATACAGCGACGGATAAATTTACCTCCTTGATATTCAATAATATAATTTTGGTTCTCTTGGTTCATAAATGTAACATTCTCGATAACCTTTAAGGTTCTCTCAATTTTATGAAGTAATCCTTTATCCACAATCTCTTCCTCCCAGACAATATCATCACGAATTAAACTGGTTGATTCTTCGATAATTTGATTACATAGGAAATCAATTCCTTTAAGATTTCTCAATTCTTCTTTACACCATTCACTTGCTCTTTTAGATGTTAAACCAAGTAAAGCTTCCAATGCCAATTTACCGGCTGTTATATTGTTTAGATTGAGAAATTTTCCATGGCCTTTGGTTTTCATCTCTTCGCATAATTTTTTCACTTTTTCTTTGTAATTTTTATCAACACTATCTTCTTCCTCGTCGGTTCGAGTTTCCAAAAGTTCCAACATTAAACTATGAATACCAAGGGAAGAAAAAGCCAGATGAGATAATCCATACGAAGGAAAAGAGTCAGAGGACACACAAATTGACAAAAGAAAAGAAAGAACAAAAAAAGAGAAGATAAAATTAGTAAAACAAAATGAAAACAATACAAATTGAGAATGACTTTGATGATGATTAACATATACGTCGATATTTAAACAGGACGAGAAAAATAATAGCTAATAGCTAATAAGAATTAGCTATATTAAGAATGACACTCAAAGTATAACCTTGAACATGAAGGAGTTTTTTTTGTTTGAACAAAAAAACGCGATTTCAACCTGTAAAATGGTAAAGTACAATTTTTGTTGAATCGACTGTAGATTTGTGATCAATTTATCATCGATATAAATATTAATCATCATGGGGTCAAGTCATCTGTTCATACCTCAAAGCATTTGGGTCTATGTCCATGGTCATCCGATCTTGATTATAAACATACATAAGAGCTGAGGTACAAAGAGCTAAATTAGGATTTGAACAACCATCCATTAAGGCACTAATTATCTTTGGCATGTCATCATGAGCTCGAAGATGCATTCTGAATTCAGCTCGTTGACACTGATTAGCCAGACCAAGGATACTTAGACACCTTGTATTAATATTATTAACACGGCTCAGTCCATCAAGATAAAATTTAATATCACCATCAAACTCTTCCCTTTCACCCAATTCAGCACATTGATGAGCCTTTTTAACTCTTCTTAATCTAATATAATCATCTTCATCATTTTCATGATGAGAAGAAGAGTGTGATTGGTATGTATGAGAATGGTGACGATAAGATGATGAAGATGAGGTTGACGATGAGGTTTGTGAAGATGTTGGATCATGGGAGGATGAATGATGGGAAGAAGAAGAAGTACCGTTTCGAGTTGAATTTAATGAGCCACCAGCACCGTTACCATTTCCACCAGTGTTATTACCAGAAGAAGAGGAGCAAGATGATTCATATAAACCAGAGGTTGATGATTTACCGCTACTACTACTGTTCTTATGGGATTTATCAAATGAACCATATTCATCACCACCTAAGGTTGAACCACTTTCATCAAAATCTGATTTGAAAAAATTCCGAGCATTGAAGTAAGTTTTTTTCACTGAATCTTGACTTTTGTTGAAAAATTTTTTCTTCTTATTGGTGGTCGACATATCAACAAGATTTAAATGGTACCAAGGATTAGTTAACAGCTACTAGAATATTTATATATAAATATAAATAACAAAGATAATAAAAAGGTAAATGGGAAAGAGGAAGGGAGAGAGAGAGAGAGAAAATTTTAAAGTGAAAATAAGAAAAGAAAGGAATAAATTAGTTCACAAATGTAGTCAACATTTTCTAATAGAAACAAGAATCACAAAAACAGAAGAGACAATTTCACCAGCTCTTTCTTTTCACTCTTTCTCTGTCTTTCTTTTTCTCTCTCTCTTTCTCTTTCATACACACACACATAAAATCTTCTCTCTCTTTACAATTCTCTTTCTTTTCATCTCATCTTATGACGCTTTTCTCTCCCTCCAGTCTTTTCTTTCTTTCTTTCTTTCTATTCTAACGCTTGTTTTTCTCATCTTCTCCAAACCAAAGAGAGAGAAAAAACGCTTTGATTGATAGAAAAGTTAAACATTTACTTACCTGTGTGAATGAGTAGATTTAATTAATCAACATTCTAAACCTTCTAATAACACCAATAGTTAAACAGTAAAAAGCACAATTAAAACAGAAATAATTAGACAAAGAGAGAATCAAAATTATCCTAAATAACAACTCATTGGATACTTTTGGTTTATCTCCTTTGTTGTAGACAAAAAGATGAAAATTTGTTGGCTGATTTGAAATTTTGTTGATGTTTATGTATAAGAAAAGATTCTAATTCACTTTACAGGTTGACGATTTACTCTATGTACCAAAAAGATTTTACAATCAAGGTGAGAAATAGTTGGTTAATTAAAAGAAAAAGAAAAACACCAAAAAGCGATCATTAAAAAAAGAGACAAACGTTTCCATTGGAATATAAATAAATTCTCACAATTGTCATTTTCTTTTCTCCAACTGTTCGAAAGATTGTACTTATCATACGGTCCCTTTAGAATTTTTTCCAAATTTTTTTTTCTCGTTGCATTTTCTTTCTTTCTTTTATCCTCTGGACAATTAACTGGAACTGGAATTGACATTTAAGGTAATTAGAAGGTTTTGTTGATTTTTTCGGTTAATTTTTGTGATGTTTTGTCAATCTAATTGGATTAACATGATGGTGGTGATTAACTTGGAGTTTTAATGTTGCCGCTTTGAGAATGAAATTTTATGCCCTCTGGTTTTATCGGTGGAAAACTAATCATCCGGTGACAATTTAAAATTGATCAATTTTTTTCTACTTTCAATTAATAATCGTGAATCACTAACAATTATTACGATCGGGGTTGGCTCTCTCTCTCTTTTTCAGATCTTGGAGAAAGAAACGTCGTCTTGAAGGATCGTCAATGTAAAGTGCAACTCGAAGACAAAGTAATCAAACACAATACGAAAATATTAATCTTAATTCTGTTGACCGACACAATGGATCGTAAATGGAAAAGACAATAGGATTAAACGAAAACTTGGAGATAATCTGATGGAATCTACACTGGGATCAAAATCACTGAGAAGAGAATCGATTTTGACGATTTAAATGTAATATCTCTTATCGAAAATTTGACTGTTATCAGTTGATATTCTGTGTAACTATATTCCGAGGTCGATATTTTTTCTATACTCTTCTTCAACGTCATTTCAAAGGAGAAATAACTTTCGTTTCCGATGCCCGAAAAGCAATGGTAACTAATATTGTAGCTGAAAATTTATCACAACCACTTCTTGTTAAGATTATTGTGATTTTGTTTTGATTGGGTGGTTTTCGTTGAGTTTACATCAAGTTTCTCAATTAGTTGATTTATTTGTGATAATTTCGTCAAATTGTTTGCTGTTATTTTGACTGAATCATAAATCTAATTCATTTTTGGTGGAGAAAAAAAAATGAATAATTGATTAACTAATTGAAAGGATGTCAAGTAATAAAGTAAGTTGGTCAGTTTTTGTTTTTACTTTTCAAGTCTTTAAATAATGTTTACTTTATTTGGACAACTTTAATTACAGAATTTTGGATTCAATTTTTTTTTCTTGATTGACCACAAGTATGAGATGGTGATAGTTAAAGTAAACTTGTATCTACATTAAACACTGGTAACCTCTGGAAACACTGAAAATTGGGACAATTGAATTGGAATTACTCTTGTTAGATTTTCAATAAAATCCACGTCCAAGTCCACCATATCGACCACCACCATAGACACCAGCTCCATATTGGAAACCAATATTGGCACCGAAACCACCGTAACCAGCACCAGAACCTGAGCCATAACCATTCCCGAAACCATTTCCGAAACCGTTTCCATAACCACCATAAGCTGGAGAACCATATCCTCCAAAGCCTTTCATATAAAAGGATTTAATCATCCACATTAATCATCTCACTTCTGGTCGAACACTTTGATTTAATCAATCACTTACCTGGATTATTGTATCCATTGTATCCACGATAACCACCATTGGCACCATATCTTAACCCAGCGAATCCACCATAACGGAAGTTACCATATCCCATATTATTGTTGAGAAAATTTTGAGCAGAAACCATGGCAATTAAAGTAACAAATACTACAAGAAATTTCATTTTGATGAAAGTAAAAGAGTTGGAACTTGCTTTGGAAGCTAAGATTGGTCAAACAAATACGATTTAAGATTAAACTTGAAATGATATTGGTTGACATTCATCACTTGGCTTTTTATACTGACACTTTCTGGACAAGGAAATTAAAGGATACACTTGATAATGAGGAGGATTCGTTCAATTTAATTGTCTGAATAACAACGTGTTCAACTCCTTCAATTGTCAACGCCCGATTTTAATTCATCATAACGCTTGACCACAATTTAAAAAAAAAGTGAGAGATTAACATCAAAACGAAAAGAAAGAAAAACAAAAGATCAAGTTTACAATCGAAGTTCGAAACTTTTTCCCAATCATATAACCAATGTTAGTTTACCACAATCATTGAGAGCGAATTACCTGAAGGAGGTTGACATTCATTCAATAACCTGACAGAATTTCATATTAATTCATCAATAATATCGTATTCATATTTTCCTCCAAATTTACTTGGCTACCGAAAGTTAATCCAGTTAACCATCGGAGTCCAATCCAAAGTCCAAGAAGCAATTATCATGCTCAACGAATGCAACTTTAAGTTATCCACACAATTTAATCCAATCAATATTCATCTCATTTCCAATAATGACAATCAAATGGTCAACATGGTGTTATCCTTAAATTCAGAATTTGTATCGCAAATCAAATCAATAATGATACAGTAACAATCAAATTGATCTTTGAAGACGGAACCATTTTGTAGTTAAATAATGTAAGTTTTCAAGGCTTAATTTTTTTACCTTTACTCTTGACAATTTACTAATCACAATTTACTTTCTCTTTCAGAAATCTGTAGTTCAACTATTGATGGCGCTTGAATGAGATAATTAAAGCAATTAAAGAGGCTCCAATAGTTAAATTGTTTCTGTTATTTCGCAATCGTTTTTGTTTTAATCGAGAGTTAATTAAGGACTAATTGTCAACTAAACAATTAACTTTAATAACCTGAGAATCTAATCATCCTGAAGCAACAACGACACTAAATGAAAGACATTAAATGATTTTGGTTAACTGGTTTTGTTATTCAATCTACATGACATGACCTTGGCACTTTGATGGAAACAAAGTGAACAATTAAATTTGATTATAATACAATTTCTCATAAAAAAGTCATGATTAACACCTTAAGTTAATTGTTTAACTAATTTATTGGTTTTTTATTATAATTTATCAATTATCTCGGTTATAAATTTAAACCTAATCAATTAGCTAATTAGTTACTACCGGTTTCTTATTTATCTTGATCTTTTTGATCAAAACAATTAAGAATCAATTAATTAATTTATTGATTAACTAAAAACGACTGGTGTTAATTAACTATTCAAACTAATTGTTATACTTACCTTAATAATGTGAGAAATTGTTTAATCTAGATAAGGTTAACAGATATCATTACAATTAATCAAAAATTTAAACTCGATTGATTATGATTTATGAATCTAATTAGTTAATTAACCTTGTAGACAATTAGATAACAATCAAAAACATAACAATTTCTGACAATTGAACAAAAAATTCAATTTTAAAAGTACTGATGAAAAATTGTTAATGAACAATTTAAATAATCAAACTACTATTTTTAACAATCAATTAATTACCAATCATCATCAACAATTCAATTGAAATGATAAAATTAACACTAAATCGCTGATTGGGTTTTAATTGCGTGACACTTATTAGTTAATTGTTTATCAATAAAACTCCCAGAGAAAACAAGGTTAAGATGAACTTTTATTTATTAGATTAAAAGTGAATCATTAACGTTAAACAATTAACCAAATTAATCGATACAATTAACTAATATCGACACGATAGTAATTTAGTTAGGACAAAGAGAGGAAAAAACTTTCATCAAATGCAAATGAACAATAGAAATCAACCTAACAATTAAAAGTTTATTTCGATGTTTTCGCTTCCCTTACACAGTAAATTGTTTGATTTCTAAATTTAATTGTTCCAAAAAGAGGACAATTAAGCTGATCAATGGCTCCGAGAATTGAAAATTTGGTCAATTACTTTGGTTATTTTCCAATCTTTTTGGTCAACATTTTGTCCCCCAAAAGCAACGGGTCAACATTTCCAACACTATTATTGACCATTTACCACAATTTGATTAAGTATTTGTCCCTTGGATTGTTAATTTTAATTGTTATGGTAGCATCACCTTTAATTGATTACACATCAACTTTAATCCGGTTAAGTGACGAGAGTAATTATCCAATATTTGCTTTAATTGTGTTCAATTTAATCTCAAATGTATCAAGTTATTTCATCGCTGATTATAGTTGCCGATCAAAATCATCGCTAATGAAATGGACTGAAATTTTTCAGGTAATTAAATGACGAAACATTTAACAATTAATACTTTAACTTAACTTTATCACTAAAAATTTTCTCTAAATCAGTTAATAAATCAATCAACTAAAATGTCAACAAAAATTGACAATAGTCCAGATTTGGTACAATCGTTAATCCAATTTACAAGAAAAGTGACCATAAGTTGTATCATCTTTATAATAGGACGTAGTTTAATGGTCAGTTTAATTATATTATCAATCTACTTTCGTCGAGAATCAACTTTATCATTAACAATTTACGGTAACAATCAGCTGATTGAAACAATTTTCTCAATCATAATTATCGTTTACATGATAACATTTTCAAGTCTCGATCATGTAAACTCCCATTTATTTGATATAATGGTTGAGTATTTTGTCCAAAAGTTTCGAGTGATTAACGATCAGATCGCAACGATTGTCAAATCAGGCAAACAACAATTAACAACAATTAACACCAGCAACATTGATACAATGGCAATAAACGACAATCAAGCCAAATCATTACACGAAACTGAATTAAGATCAATCCTTGACCAACACGATACCCTTAAGGTCAACCTAAAGTTATATGATAAATACTGGGCATCAATTAACGTAATTACCTTGTTAATTAAACCATTGGTTTGCCTTTTCTGTGTTTATCAATTAACTTTCCGAGTCCAAACAATTGAGACAATCATTTTCCTGTGGTTGAATCTATTTGAGGCCATTTATTTATTCACAAGGATGTTTACATCAGGAACCAACGTTTCCGATGAGGTAAGACAATTAACAATCAACAATTAAATCAGTAAATTGATCACTAAAAAAATCCACCAACATCAACTGATTGCTTTTGTTTAATTAATACTTACATCAAATCAAAATGCTTCATTCAATGTCCAGTCAATGTATAATTAGGTTAATTGTTGGTTAATTGTTATAATAACAATTTCTTTGCTTTTTCACCTCTTCATCTGAAACTTTTAATTGTAAACAATTTCGCAACCTTATTAATAAAATAGTTAGAATATAATTTAAATGAAAACTGTCAACATGTAATAACAATTAACTGTTACAATTAAACAATTGTTAATTGTTGTTAAATGAATGAAAACTTTTTTTTTCCCAATGACAATTTTCATTGTCACTTTCTCAATATTCACAAAATATAATAATAATATTTAACTAAGCAATCAGTTAATTGTTTCAATCTATTGTTTGTCACCTTATCTCTTTCACTTAATTAAATTTGTCTTTTTTATTTTTATTTTTCCTTTCATTGTAATAAACACAATTAACTTAATTGTAATTAGATTGATGCTGTTGCTGCTAATGGATTACGATTAATTTTATTCAACTATTCAATTCCAGTACTTCAAAGGGTAAAACAAATTAACCATTTACAATTAGCCACGAATAATTTAATCACCTTGACAATTTAACTCTAATCATCGTATTTAAATTAAATTGTAGCTTCAACTATTTAATCAACATATTATGTTCACCGAGATTGGATTCAGTTGTGGTGGTTTATTTACATTTACACTTGATTCAGTTCTAGATGTAAGTTAATCAGATGAAAAGTTATTTTGATTGTTCAAACCAAATCAACAATTTATCACCATAAATCATGTTAATAATATTACACAACCATCATGACAATTTATTAATCAATATAAATGACAAGTGAATAATATTATCATTTATTTACCATCATAATTAATAAGAGGCTTAATTTTTGTGTGTGTGTTGATTGTAAACAACAAACAAACTCAAAAGTAAATCAATCAACAATCAACAATCAGCATTGATTAACTTTTCCAATCCTAATCAACAATATTTAAGTATTAATTTATGTATAGAGTAGTTAATCAGTTTAAATTAATTGTCACGTTCAATATTGTAATTGAGTTAGATAATCATGATGATAATACATAATAATAATATATAAGAATCTATTGATTGTGGTTAACTTAATTTAATTTCAGAGTTAATTTAATAAATGAAATGTTTATTTTTTTTTCTTCCATAGGCTTTCATTGAGTTGACTCAAGATTTCCTGTTGACTCTTGATTTTGTGATTACCGTTAGACAAGCAAGGTTACAATTAATTAAATAGATCACAATTAATACCATTAACCACCCACTGATTTTGTTAATCAACATTATGGATCAACAATTTAACAATTGCTTAATCAAGATTATATTGAATTACATATGAAACTATTGAAAAATCCTTGAGCAAATCAGTTATAACAATCAATCAATTTGATTCCTCATTAGTTAATCGTTACCTTAATCATTAATTTACCTTTTAGTTGATTGTGCAAATCATTTGATAAACAAGTTCACAATTAATCATAAATAAGTTACATTGAAAGCTAATTGTCAGCTTAATTTGTGTAGGTTGAGTTATTAATTAACAAGAATCCTTGATAATAATTTAGTCTGTTTGTTTTTTATTTTGCTCCTTTTAAATTTTGCAATTAAATTAATTGTTTCAATCATAAATCCTCATCTCTTCAATTTCAATTGGCAGTTCAACAATTAACTGAACACTAATCTTTAAATCACTTGCCAATTAAATGTAATAACTGTTATGCTAATCAAATTAAAAATAATCTTCATCTTTAATTGTTCATCTTGTGTTTGTTTTGTGTTCATTTTTATTAATTTAATTGTTTACAAATTAAATCAATTACCAATTGCATGGGGTTTCAATTACATCATTGAATTGTTATTATTTATTGATTTGGGATTGAAATGGTTTTACAATCAAAATGAATTTTGATGATTTCATGATTATAATTAAATTGTTGTTAGTATATTAAAAATAATTACCATTTGTTAATTGTTCTTAATTAATATAGACTCTTTTGTTTACGTGTTAATCATTTTAAAATATTTAATTTAGTTTAATTTAATTGTCTCACAATTGTATCTTTTCAAGTGTTTCCTTGTTGTTTACTACTTTATAGTCAGTCTGATTAGCTTAATCAACTCTGCTAATTGTAATTTAAACAAAATTAAAACCATGAAAACTCAACAATTAACAAATAGATTAACTGAGAAAATATCTGTAATTTCAATTGCTCATTAGTTTTAACTAATCATTTGAAAGAGAAACAAAATTTTCAACTGATTAATTTAGCTAAATTGATTAACTTGGTGTATTATGATTGATACATAATCATCTCAATTTTTTTTTATGATAATCATTCAAATAATTGTGATAATTAGCAGCAATTAAATACATGTTAATACAAAAATAGTGGTAATAGTTAATTTGATCAACGGAAGAAACTGTTTCAATGATGATTGATTTGATTGGAAGGGGTAAAAAGGGAACCATTGATTAAGTTAATTTTTGCCATTTAAATTGTTGCTTCGAGAAAATAATCTAACTAATAACATATCTAAATTGTTGAATTTCAATGCAAACACATGAGCATTGAAGTTTTACTCAGGCTGCTAATTAGTTAATTGTGTGTTTCCAAACGAAGGGAAGATCTCAATGTAATATTATCAGTAATTATTTACAATTAAGTAATTGATGAATGATGCAAATTAAGAGATGGTCATGTTAATTGTGCCAAAAATTATCTTTGTTATTTCTTCAACTTTTTGTGGGTCCATTAGATTAAATCGTCCATAGTTAATTAATCCAAATAATCATCCATTTGTATATTAATTATTGGAAGAGAGTTAAAACTTGATTAATCCTCGAATTCATTGTGGTGTTACCATTGAGAGGGATTTTTGTTAAATTAGTTGGAATCTTGTGATTAACTAGATGAGCTTTAAGGTTCTTTGAACGAGATGAAAGTAATTGAATAAGTGTAATGAAATTTGATAGAATTTCATTTTGAATTAAAGTTGACGAATTGAATGTTGAGACAAGAAATAAATGAATATAACGACCCAAAGCTCCATCAATAAGACGATCATCTAATTGTGGATCAGTTGAGGCAAACATTAGGATTAACGCTATGAAAGCTTCATTTTGCATGATACGACATTTATATCCTGTTGAAATCATCTCAATGATTCCTCGAAGTCCATCAAGTCGAACGATATTGTCCACAACTTGGCGACATTTGGAATTTTTAACAATCCAAGTTAACAGGCGAGAAGCTTCAGCTTTTACACCATAATGGTCATCAATTTTTGACCAGGAAATCACTTTATCGAGTAAATCTTCATTAGTACCAAGGAGAGTGGCCACTTGCTCTCGAGAATCGGTCAACATCCGAAGAGATTGAAGAAGCTTGAAAACAATTGGATGAGCTTTGACCGTTGACATTGAGATTAAAATTTCAAGAGTTTCCGGATTGGACAGGATTTCCTTGTTCTCAGCGGCGATTGTAAGATTACGTAGAGTTGCTAGGCAGCTATATTGCAATTGGAAATCCCCATCAGGTCCAGAGTTACGACTCAAGATGGACAGTATACCTTTATGACCCGAATCTTTGACAATTTGACAAGAATTTACATCTAGAGAGAGAGAGGAAAAAATAACGGGATAAATAAAAAGAGAAACAAATTTGAAGCAATTCAGTTCATTTGAAATCCAATTACTTTTAGTTCCGGATATATAGCATATAGTGTTAATCTAATTGAGACTAAATCTGTATAAATACAACTTGGATCAATGGATTAAATGAAAATCATGTTAATCATTTTATTGATGATTATGGTGATTAAACTGATGCATATAACAAAAGCTATTGTAATCAAGTTAGATAATGTTGACTAACCACAATCAGGGAGAGGGTATTAAGTCAGTGGAAAAGTTAATTAACTGATTATTACCATTGAAATTGTTAATTGTACTTCTTTTTTTGATTAATGAAGCTTAATACATGAAGATATATTTACATGGAGATAAATATATTTATTAATTCAGGATAAGAAAGTGATAAAGATTAATTATTGAAGTGGAAATGTTATTAAAAGGTTAATCAAAACAAAAGATCAACTCAAGATTAACCAAACAGTGAAAGGTTATTAAAAGTAATCATGATAATGATAACTGATGATCCAATAGCTTTAGGTTAACATGTAATTGTTATGGTGGAAGAAAAAAATAATAATAATAATAAGGACACTGAGCTTTCAGTGTATTCAGGGGATTGGAATATAAATCAGAATAATTTCTAGATTGTTAATTTAAGTTATGGAATTTGAATCAACAAGAAGAGATGATGAAGGTGGATGATTATGATCAGCGAGTAAAGAATTGGAGTAAAAGTTAATCAATGAAAGAAAATTGTTGTGGGTGGAAGATAAATTGTGAATCCATTATGATAATAACTAAATGATGATAGAAACTTGAAAAGCTAAATGTTAACTTGGTTATCATGTTAATCAAAGTGGTAACATAATTATTTTTGTTATGGTAACAGTTGGATGGTAATGATTAACTTGATATTGATTTGGTTAAGATTATGTAATAGATTTATAATTAATCGATGGTGAATGAGAGAGATGGATTAATTAATTGTGAAAGAGTAAAAGTTTCAATGGGTGAATAAGTGAATAAGATGATGATTATCATGGATTTTTGTTTATAATTCAAACGATTGATTGGTAATTCTTAAGATTAACAGGAAATAAGTTGATCATCAATGATAAGTTAAGATGATTCTGTTGATGAAATCGGAAATTAAATTCAAAGTCCATTGATTCAGTTGTATGTTTTAACAATTGATTTCAACATCTTCAAGCTATTTACATGAATAATAAATTCAGTTTCAACTGAAACAGGAAGATGAAGATAAAGTTAACTTTCCATGAGATTCTTATGGATAAAAAAAAGGAGGAAATTGGTAATAATTGGAAACTTATTCTCAAAGGTATTGAATGATGCTGATTCTGAAGATGATCATCATGGTGATGATTCAGAACATTTCTCAATGAGTTTGTTAGTTTTATTTGATAACAGTTTATATTGATAGCTAATCATGTTAAGTGTGTGTGTGTCTATTGAAACAAATAATCATGATAAAAGACAAAGTTTCAAGAAATGAGATGAAAATTTGGTTAACCAAAATAACCATGACCAGTGGTCAAATTTATAAATATTACTTTGTAAGTTTAACTCAATTAGAGTAATAATATTATCTGTTGATTAGTAAATATTTAACTGAAATATTGTTGATTTAAACGTTGGAAATTTCATTCATGACTATGGTGGAAATACAATCACGTAGCAAGTTGCCCAGAGTATTGGTCATGATAAACAGCTAAGAGAAAGGGTCAAACTGTTGACCACGATGGAGAAAAGGTAAAAAAGATGAGATGGAATATAGAGAGGGAGAGGGGGAGAGGGAAATAAAACCTGAAGAAACTACCAATACATATAGAAAGAGAGAGAGAGAGAGAATCAATTTGATATTTGATTCTCAGAGTTTTCAAGCTAAAATTTGAAATTCGAAAACGAAAAATATTCTAATAGACTTGATGCCATATCTCTTGGAATAGTTTCAAGATAATGGATGAAAGTTGTGAGATAAACAGAAAATTTGAATTGGAAAAAGAAGCCAAAAGTCAAGTATAAGTAGAGAGAGAAAATGAAGACGTGAAAGATATAGAAGATGAATTATCTTCACCAGGATAACATTTCGTTATCCTGGTGAGTTCAGTTGGAAGAGAAACTTTCTCTCAGTATTTTCTTACTTTTTCTTTTTGTTCGAAGAAGAGAACAAAAAAGAGAGGAAAGGGGAAAGGGGAAAGAGAAAAATAACATTCATCCAATTCAGTGCTTTAGTTTCATTCTTATATATAATTTCGCCATCTTTTACTACCATTAAGCATTACAAATCTTTTTCGCCCACGCAGTAACTATGATGAAATAGTAACTTGAATGAAGAAGAAAAAGATTGCAAGGAGTTTTCACTCCAACAAAGATATTAACAATTCCCTCTCCCTCTGGTCGTTGGCCTCGGAAAATTTCAACACCCACGCTAATATCTTATTGCTCATGTCAATGAGTTACAACTTTTTCTTTACTTTTCTTTTCTCTATCATCTAATCGCAACTCTTAGCCTTCTCGAACATGAGAAGATGGTGATCATGATGAGAAAATGGTTCATTCGAAGCTTCGACATGTTAAAACTGCAGAGAGAGAGAGAGAGAGAGAGAGAGAGAGAGAGAGAGAGGTTGGTGTGTAGAGGTGAAGATACATAATGATTGACGATTGTGATGGGTGACAATTAGTTAACCACTTTTGAGATGGTAATAACATTGGTTACCCAATTATTGATAACAAACTAAACCGATAGAAACAAAGAAATGTCATTAAAATCAAATTGTTTGGTTAATGGGTTTTAATAACAATCAAATTGACATTTTATCACAATCAATGATGATGATAACTGAGGTAAGAATCAGTTAGATAGGATAATAATAATCATTTCAAGAGGTTGTAACTCACATGTCAATCAATTGTTTAGTTATGATTGTTGAGAATGACGAATGACATGACAACTTATGATAAATTATTACTTCCATGGTGATTAGTTAAACAATAATAACAATTAACGTCCACATAAGTGAAACGATAAAGTCAATCAATTTAATATTTAATCATCATCAATTCATCATGAAAATAATTGTGATGAAAACAACAATTGACCTACAGTTTATATCTTTCCAATCAAATGATTAAAAGATTATAACAAAATTTTGTAATAGTATTTGAAGAGGGAAAAAAATCCATTAAGATAATCAAATTATTAGATTGATATTAAAAATCATTGAACACAAATTGTATTAAATTAATGGAAAATCTTGATTCTGTCATAACCAATTTTGAAATTCACCATCAAGATTTATTGATAGATATGAAAATACTAGTATTCAATTCAATATTCAATTAGCATGCTTATAATGGTCAAATATTAATAAGTTAATTTGGTTAAAATAAACTGACCATTAAGTTTGACAATCATGAACATAGAGACTCAAGAATATTGAATTTCATCATCAGGTGAGTGTCCAACTACTTGTTTACAATTTTTCATCATATTGTTTACAAAGTTCAAATTCTCGAGTAAAAAGTTCTGTTACCATGAAAACTGAATAAAAGACAAAGAGTAACAGTATATGAAGAGATCATTGAAATTACTTTTGATTGTTTTTTTTTGCTGAGAAAAAAACTCATGAAAACAATTGACAAGAAAGAAAATCTGAAAACAGATCCAGAGTTCATTGAATCAGCTGAAAACGATAACAACAACAATTTAGTAAATAATCACATTAGAAATGATCTAAGGTGTTGTAAATGCTCAGCAGTTTACACCATTTACGAAATTTGCTCATGGAGATAAAATAGTAATTCTCATGGAAATAAATTGTCAGGTCACAGAATCCAAGCCAAATTTTGGACCGAAAAATTGACCAATAAGAATTTAAATCTTAATGTAACTGATTAAGTTGATTGAGTTGATCTTTGATTAAATTTTAATCAATTTCTCCACCTAAGATACCATCCAGAGGATAATTTTCCCATTGAGATGGATCAAGTTGATTGTTTGTTATTATTGTGCAAATTGATGATCAACATTATTAAGATGATGATGGAAAATGGAACCGGAAGGAAAAAACTTTTATCAACCTGATCAATGTGATTAAATGGTGGAAATTTGTACTTTCTATTACATGAAAACTTTGATGTTACCATTTCGTCAAATGGTTCATGTGCATCTCCACTGAACTCAACCTCTTGGATATATATATAAAACATCAATCATATTTCACTTGACATCAATAGTTATTGAAGAGTGGGAGAGGTGATGGTGGAAAAGGTTGGGAGTGGGAATGAGAAGATACAAATTTTATACATAAAGATAAACATATACACACTATTAATAGTAATATATACATTGATGAAAGAGAAAACCTCTTTATCTTCATCAGAAAAGGAGACATTTTCCTTATTCTATTCATATATTGGTTGTGTATAAGTTTTTGCTGATACTTGTCATCATCTAATGAGACCATTTATCTATGGGTAAATAATATTATATCATCGATAGGTTTTTAAACTCAATCTATCATAATCATGAAAAATCATTGGGAAAAAAAGGTTGCGAGATACACAGCACTTATCATGTTATTGTACCTGATACTTTTTTTAAACTTGGATGGTTATCATGAGGAAAAGATCAACATTAGTAAACTCAGGTAATAAAACAAGTATTGGAATTTCAAGATGAAAGATTAAGGTAGGAAAAAAAAGAGCAAAAGTTGATTAAACTTACCTGTTCTGCCAAAATTTCCAAGAATTAGAATGGCAGAGGTAAGAACATGATGTTCTGTTGATGTTGATTCTTGAATCCATTTTAGGCATTGTTTGTATAACATACCTGATCCATTATCAAACAATAATTCCATACAGGAATCTGATAAAAAGGGAATAATAATCATGATGGAATAAGATACATGTAAATAAATGATTAAACTAAGTAGATATAAACATATTATCTCAATCAAGATTTAAAAGAATCGTTTCTGAAAGAGAGAGAGAGAGAGAGAGATTTAGACGATAATACTCACCTTCGAGAACACAAGATGAAATAATGTTCATGATCAACTTTTCAATTGATTTACTCAGATTTTCCTCAATTAACATATTGATCAATTTTACAGGTAACCCTTGAGTAATTAGGGCAATTTTAACTCGATCTTCCTCTGATATGACCAAAAGAGTGTCCAAAAGTGCTGAAAGTATATCTTCATCTCGATTAATGTTAACTAAGTTAATCAGTTCGGTTAAATTTCTAGGTTGACTTAAATATTTCCGTCCAACCTCTGATTCTGGAAGAGCTTGTAATACAAAGGTTGCCGAAAGGCTTGTCTCTTCAAATGCATTACCACGATTGTTTAAAATTTTCAACAAAATGGGTAATAGACCAGAGCTCAGGGCAATATCATGTCCATGATCAAAAGTATTGACTACATTAAATAGACAAGAAGTGACCAGGGAAAGTATTTCATCAACTTTAGATGATCCTCCTAAACTCACACTGGTTCCAGATGAACAATCAGAATCGAAATTGGAACCAGAGGAATCAATGAGAGTTCTCATCAGTATTATTAGACTGGTAATTCCATTCACCTGGTTAAATGACCTACGGCCAGTATCTAAGAGAGAGAGAGAGAGAAACAATGAGAAATATTTCAATGAATGAAGAAAAGGATCAAATGAACAAATGAGCGAGAAAATTTTTCAGGTTAATTACATTTAATGTATAACATAATTGATAGAAAATCTATCTGAATATACGTGGGTGGAGAAAAGTTTCTGATAAGAGTTTAACAGAATTGGAACAGAAGATCATAGGTTAACTATGTTTCTACATGGAAGATGAGCAAATATTATAAATATATAGAGAGAAAAGTTTTACGAAAATCTAATCATGAAAATGTTCATCCAAAGTTAACAACGGATTTCAATCATTTTCAATAAACAAATTAATGTAAACATCAATACCCACTCTCAACTATTAGATTATCATGCTCAGGGATTGATAATATATCCATGATATTATAATAATCAAATCCCCACCAATAGGCTTAGAGAGCTCGATTAATTTTTCATCATGATACTCCTACACTCTGGGAACAGGGAACAAAAAAGTATCGAGTTTACCTTTACATGTATAGAATTTTGTTTTTAATTTCTAACGGTAAACTTGAGAGTGAAATAAACACTCTAATGGATGAAATAATCTCTCATTCGATAATTATCTACTTAACCTCTCAGCTGGTAACTTCCTGGTTTCATATTAATGTTATATAATTGATTTTCCATCGATATTTAAACTTGTATATTCCTAATGTTTGTAACGATTAGTACACTTACCATTATCATAGCAAATATTACCAATGGCTCGACATGCTTGTTTAATGGCTCCATATTCATCTGATGATAAAACTGTTACAATTATTGAGAATAGATTGATATTGGATAATGGTAATCTCCATATTTCTAAAAGGGAGAGAGAAATGTTGATATTATTATATTTGTTTCAAGTTCTTAAAGCCTATTGGAAATTTAAAAGCAAATTAAAGTCAAAATGAATTATCATCAACATCATTGTCGATTATGATTGGATGAAAATTTTGGTTAGCATGAATTCTGACAGAAAGATATCTACTAGGTTAGTGTATAGTTGAAATTCTGGAATAACCTTGAAATTCAATGACAACAATAATCTACAGGATATAATGTTGAAAATGAGCAGCAGCAACAATCCATGAATTCAAGGTTGAGACCTGGAAAAAGGATATTCATGTATGTGCACAAAGGTAGGTTATCATATCCATGGATCATGATATTCATGATTAAATATTAATAGAGATGAAGATATTTATATAAGAATGTTGAATTATCGTGAAGGAGTGAGAGAGAGAGAGAGAGAGTAAGAAAATAACAATGGAAGTCTCATCATTTTCGTCTATGAATAGCAAGGATAAAAGTTACGTTAATACTTTGAAGACCTTGAACTCAATTCGTTGCATTTGTACATAACCGATTATTTTCTTTGTTCATCATCTTCCATCATCATCATCATCACCATCATCATCATTCTCTTACAGATTCCCTTTCTCTAGGAAGTAGGTCAAATCGATTATCTCGATCGATACTCAGTTTACTTTTAATTTCTCTGTCTTTTTTGTCTTCTCTCTCTCTCCCTCCTCTCACTCCACTCTCACTCTCCCACCTTCACTCCCTGTTATATCAAAACTTTGTCTCTGTGAAATATTTTCAAGGGCAAACTATTTATATATAAACTTTACCGTTAGATTAACTATTCAACTGTCATTATATTTAAGATTTTGCTACTTTTTCGAATGGACATTATTATCATTATTTAGTAATGTCTCTCACTCCCTTGTATTTATTTCTCATTTTTTCTTTCTGTCGATAAAGAAAAGGATAAGTTAAAACGGAAGTTTACTCTTTGATAAATCATCTAAACTGTTTCCTTGGCAATCAAAATATCGATTGACCTTGAGATTGCAATGGAAGTTTTTGTAATAAGAGAGAAAGAGTTAGACTCTTACTTTGGTTTTCTGCTCATTCTAACCTTGACCTCACTCTTTCTCCAAGTACTAAACTACACTTCTCATATATTACATGTACATATACTAGAATTGCCATTGATTACCTAGAAGACCTTGACTACCTTCAAGTTTGGAGGTCACTTAAAAATGGCCATCAAAACAATTAGAATCATTTACAAAACTCTTTCTAATTCTGTTATATTAATTTTGATGATTTTAAAACTCATCATCAAGCTATAATATTCATATAATAAAATCAATGGAAAATTTTTTTCCAAATATAAACGAAATTCTGATTTAATTGTTCGGAAACAACATTGCACGCAAAAAGGAATTGGAAATCTGACTAATCACTATTTTACTATTTCTATTAGTCAAAATCAAAACAATCAGGTTATATAATTTTGTCCTTCTCGTCAATTGAATTTCAAATTAGATGCTAAATGCTATCGATTGATACCCCATAGATTGATAGAGTAAATATTAATAATTGTCATTTGATAGACAAAATTATAAGATTAACTTACCAAGTTTGGCTAATTCTGCAATCATCTCACAGATAATACGTTTATCATCAAGGGTCACTGTTATATTTTCATTATTAAGAGTATCAGTGATTAGATTGATTAGTCCACAGGAAACTAATTGTTCACTTAATTGTTGCCTTTCTTCATCATCTTTCAATGAGATGAAATTTTTAGTTATATCCGAAGATAATTTAACCAATTTTTCAGCTGATCCAACACAAGTTACTCCTTCCGATCCTTCAGCTATTTTTATCCCATTTAAACGATTAATTATTTCTTCTAATGGAGAAAAATGTATAGAGAAACATTTAATTAGTAGGATATTTTAACTTATTAATAATTGAAATGGAAGTTTAAAAAAGAAAACAAGAGAGAACAAAGAAAGAGAGAAACTTACCCATGATTTTTAAAAGTGAGAACTTTCAAAATAAAGAGAATAGAAGAAAAAACACAAAGAGAAGGAAAAATGGACAATCGCTAGAATTTGATTCTAATGTCACCGATTGTCAACACTTGAAGATTATTGATTCTATCAAATAGGCGATGACACGATAGACAATTAACTGGGATTAAATTAAATCAACAATTAGAAAGAAAGAGAAAGATAAAAGAGAACAGAAAAAGTGAAAATTGTGTAGAGATGAGAGAGAAGATTTTATTTTTAAGAGAACAAGAGAGTTTAATTGATTGACAATTAACAGAATTATCGACTTAAGAACTGATTCAAAGAGATCGTCCGGTTGCCATAAAGTGACATGGAAATTGACCTCATAGGCCCAGCGGGTTAGAATCGAAGAAAAGATAAAAAAGAAAGTAAAGAGAGAGAAAAATCGGTTGTAAGTTGAGAGAAAAGGTTGAGAAATAAAAGAAAACCCATTCCAATGACATAACAATGATCTCCCTTTTCTGCGCATGCGCAGTTCAACGTAGAACTTCGAAGTGCTGCCATCTTGTTAGCGCCGGTAAAGTTCCAAAAAGTAAACAATTTGTTTTTCGATGAAAAGTTTTTCCACTAATAATAACATATGAGCGATAATTAAAATCGCAAAGTTAATAGTTAAATCAATTTCTCTCTCAACTTTATCAAATGATTTTTTCTAAATTGTCCCTAATTAGTTTTTCTCTTTCTTTCACTTTCAATAGAATCTCAATATCTAAAGATGAAATTCCATTAATTGTTGAGACAACGAAAATCTATTAACTATAATTAACTTACACTTTACCAATGATGTGAATGTTTGATCGCAATTAACTTTTGACTATTATCTTGAATCATTTTGGATTAGTTATTTGGAGCATTAAATTGTTGTGAACTTTTAATCCAACGTGTAAATTAAGATTAAGGATTATCTTGATTAGTTGAAAAGTTATCAAAAGTGACTCTTTGATTATTGAAACCTGACTGACAACATAGTTAATCAGATAACTAATTAAATCCAGTTATGATTAGTTGAATATATTGATTTTAATTTGATGAACGCGAAGAAGAAGAAACAGAAAAAGTGATTAACAATTAATTATCGTCAGTAATCAATAAACCATATTGATTAAGATCTATTGAGATGATTACCAGTTTTAACGCTTATTTTTTTTCCATCCCAATTAACTAATTGTTGCTAATTTTTACAATTTAATGATCAAAACAAACAAATAACGTTAATTGTGAAGGCGATCATAAATTTTAAATGAGTTAATTATTGATCAACATTTACTCACAATTAACTAATTAACCTTGAATATCAGACAAGACGATTCAAATTTCATCATGTTCACATTTAATGAGATGATTTAAAAATTTATAATTAATAATAATTGGATTGATTATCGATGACAAATCAATTCAAGGATTATTTAAATTTCATTGATAATCAATTAAATATTGTCATCAATTAATTAATCAACAGATTGATTACAACTTGGAAGATGGAAGAAAGTTTAATTGTAGACAATTAAGATTAATTCATTTTTCTAAACTTTAATTAAGATTCTGAAGTAGAAGAGAAACAAAAATTTAGTCAACAATTAGAATGCAATTGGGAAGGTGTAATTGGAGAGCGGGGTGGGTTTTGGTTGAGTGGTAAAAAAAGTAAATGGTTGTAACAATTAGCGAGAAAAAAAAATTTGATCAATTTGATTGGTCAGTAATTTATTTTTTCCATGCAGAGAGACCTGACCATCCGCTGACGAGACCACTGGTGTAAGCTGGGGCATTGGTATATCTGACGGCGGGAGCAGCGGCGTATGAGGCACCGTATGCGAAAGCGGGAGCTGATCTGTAACCGTAAGCTGGAGCGGCAGCATATGAGTAAGCTGGGGCAGCGGCGTATGAGTAGGCTGGAGCAGTGGTGTATGAGTATGCTGGGGCAGCTGCGGTGTAGGCAACAGCTGGAGCAGCTTTGGTGGCATAGGTGAAGGGAACAGCTTTAGCTGTGGTGTAGGCAACTGGAGCTGGTGAAGCATAGGAAACAGTTTGAGCTGGGATAGCAGCAATGGTGGCTGGAAGTGCTTTAGCTGAGTATTGGGTAACAGCTGGAGCATCGTGGGAGATTTCAGTTGCATAGCTTACACCTTGGGTGGCAACAGCTGGGGCAACATCAGCGGCAACAGCTCGGGTAGCATAGGAAACAGCTGGAGCAGCAGCTTTGTATGAGATTGCTGGAGAGGCAGCGGCGTAACCGTAAGCTGGAGCTCCATATCGTGAGTATGATCCAGGGTAACCATAGTTGTATCCATAACCTAAGCCGGAACCATAGCCGTAACCGGGAGCGTATCCATAGTATCCTCCATAACCAGAGTATCCTGCATAACCTAATCCACCGAGGGTGGTGAGTGGATAACCAGAGTAGCCAGAGTAAGCTGGAGCAACAGAGTATCCATATCCACCTAAGGAAAGTAAAAGTAACAAGAAAAAAAAGTTAATTAAACGAAACAATCAGTTAATTGTTGGAGAAAAAGTTGAAAACTTAAAGTTAAAACTCACCGGGAAGACTGTAGCCAACGTTAGCGGGTAAACCAGCGGCGGAGGCAAGAGCGAAAAAGGCTGACAATAAGATGATAACTTTCATTTTGAGTTTCGAGTTGAAGAGGATTGAATTGGTTAATTGGATTAACTGGATAATGGATTAGGATGAAGTGCGATTTGATTAACTGAAACTTTCGCTTTTTATAGTGTGAGGAAAAAGTTCTGAACACCATAGAGAACAAGTTCTGAGTCGATTCAGTAATCGGTGGGTTGACCAAAAATCGAATAAAAAATAAGAAAAGGAAAAAAAAATCATTCCAATCACAGAGATAATTCCGTTTGTCAATGGGTCCATCGAATTGAAACTTGTACCTTAGAACCTCCCTCGTCATCATCAACATGTCATCTTTTCATTTGAGAACATTAATTTCTCATCATCCTCATCATTCTCTCTCTCACTCTCTCTTCCACTCTCACTCTCTTGTCCACCTTAATCACTACGTGATCATCATAAAGTTCTGATTCCATTTACACCTTGTCGTCTTTACCATTTTATCGGATGATTTTCAAGGTTTTCTCTTCATCTTCATCTTTCATCATCCAAAGATGATATTCGATAAAAAAATTCTGTTTTTTATTCTCTTACAAATATTACATATAAATCCATAAACAAGGCTACAATTAATTACGATAATTAACTGATGATTTATATTTTAATTTCTTATTTTTTACTTTTTCTTCATCATATTAACTAATAAACGCCCTACGTTCATGTTACTTACCTGAATCTTAATCCATTATCATGATTAGTTTCTTGATTTTTTGTTCGCAATAATTTGATTAGGAATTGGAATTCACTTGACAATCATGATAAATAAATAATGGGTGATTAGTTGAACGTTGATTAACGTTGATTAGTGTTAATTATTTGTTTTTTTCTCCTTTTATCTAAAGTTAACAATCAGGTAAGGATCTCAATTTACACTAATTACCTTCAATAATTTTAATTCTGTTTACCATTTTGTCCAAGAACTGATTAACTTTTCAATCAAATAAATTGTTTCCAATTGATTTACTTTACCATTTCTTAATTGTTATCAAAAGATTCAATCAATTGATTAATCAATTCATTAACTTTTTATAATATGATTAACATTGAATTTCAATAAATAACAAAATTTATAATTGACCTTCAAATTGAACAATTAAAAGGATCAACAATTGTTGTTGACATTTAATTGTAACAATTTAATAATAATATCGATACATAATTAGACTATTAGATTAACAATTAAGAAATTTAAACGTCTGCAATCAAAGTTAATCATCAGGATTAAGCTTAATTGTTAATCTGAATGATATTTTTCCCCCTTTCCTTTTTTTATTTATTATTATTAACAATTAACTCATCTTTGCCATTAATCATTTCAATTAAATTAAAGTTAACAATTTGATGACAGATGAAGATGAGTTAATCGTTAGAAAGTGACAAAACTTGAGATGATTAAGTTAATGATAATTAACAGTTACATGCTACCAATAAGATAATCAAGTAAATCACAGATTAACATGATAATTAATCCAAGAAAAAAAATTGTATCTTCTTCAATTTAACTTTATTAAGTTAACAACTAATTCTGATTAAAAAATGATTAACTTTTAATTCAAAAAAGAGGAATTAAAATCCATCATTTAGAATTAGTTGATTGTTGTTGTTTAGCTTTTCCCAATCAATTTAGATTGTAAGATTTTTCTAATTGTTGGTTTGGAACTATTGATGATTTAGTTTAATTAATAATCAAATTAAATTGTAATTTCTTGAGATATTCAGATGATTGATCTTTTAATCATTTGACTTTCGATTGTCTCAATTGATTTGATTTCAAGTTAATTGTTGTAACTTAATCTCTGGTTTTCTAGTTCATGTTGATTGGAATGATTAACGAAAAATTAGTTTTCTTTCATGAACAATTTAGTACAAGGTGAATAAAATTGTCTCAATTAACGAAATCATTAGAGTTTTAATCAATTTAATTGGTTGGATATTCATATTAATCTAGTTTCGGATGACAATTCAATTAAATGTATAGAGTAATGATTAATATAATTGTCGAGATGTTGATGAATAATCTTAGTCTTAATTGTTCATTTTAAGAAAATTTTGGCCCTTAAGGAAAAGTTTAATCATTTCGTATGCTACTTGTGGCTGGTCAGTTGGTACCATGTGACCTGAACCTCGAACTGTGGCCATTACAAATCCTTCGAAGTGCTTAACAAATCCAGCGGTTTGATTGTTTACATGCCAGGGAATGTAAGGAGTAATCGAGGGAAAACCAAGATCCTCGACGAACCATTGGTCACCCAAGAAATCACAGACTAGGTCAACATCTCCGTTGTAAATTAGACCTCGTTTACCGGCTCGAATCGATTGGGAAACTTGATCTTTAAGGGTTCGATAGATGTTGATATATGATTCTTCAACAACTACATTACAATCAGTCCATTGTCCAGCTGAAGGGTGGATGTTAAGAGCTGATCTTACATCGCGACGATTAAGATAAGATTCAAGGTCAGCGTCATCAATACAAGGTGGACTTCCCGAGCCTTTTAGTTGGCTATTGGTTCGAGTAGATCTTGGTACAATTTCAATATCATGGTCACTGTGTCCAGTTAAAGTTGCTTTGATCAATTTCCAAGCTGAAGCGTGTTTATGATTACCATATTTCCTACCAATTCCAGGAGATGATAACGATGTTGTCCGTCTAAGGTCATTATTTGTTTGACATCGATCGTAAATGTTATAAGGATTAAGACCAGATGATTCAATTGCCTCAGTTAATTTACCAACTAATTTAGTGCAAGTTGGATTTGAACTTTGAACAAATTCACAAGAATCTTCACCAACACCATTAGAACAGCATTGAGATGTTAAAGCTGACCATTGGTCACGATCAATGAGACCATGATAGTAAGAGAAAAAAACTTTCGAATTACCCAATTTAACTTGATCAAGGTAACCATTTCCAATGGCGAAACCTTTATAGTTGATTGAAGTCTCATTGAGAAGACGAATGGACAAAGTTGGTATATAAACACCAGCATAAGATTCACCAGAAAGATAGAAATCATTTCGTTTAAATTGTGGAAATTTAATGAAGAAACTTTTAATTGCTTGTAAATTGTTGTAAGAAGCACCATCATCATCAATGGTATAATTACCATTATCATTATAAGAATAGCCAACACCAGCGGGTGATTCAAGGAAAATCATGGAAGCCAATTGATTCCAAGCAAATGGATTTGGTTCAATCGATGCTCCAGTTTTGGTAACTCGAAACGGACCTTGTTCAGTGAAAAATCCTAGCATTGAACTACAACCTGGTCCACCATTTAACCATAAAAGGAGCGGATCAGTGGCCGGATTTCCAGTCGATTCAACGAAAACATAATGAAGATGAGTTCCGTCAGAACCATTAAGGTAACCCGAATACATACCGAAGGGAATATCCTTCGTTTGACCTGGTAAACGGACTACACGATCTTCATCAAACGCGAACACATGAGTGACCAACAGTATGGCCAAGATAAAACGGAACATGGTGATTAAAATGATCTATTAATAAATCTAACCCAATGAAGGAATAAAAATCAACTTGATTGTAAACACTAATTCAATCAATTAATGTCAACTAACTGTTTATAACATAACATTGGATCGTCTTCAAGTACCTTTCATTTTTAAGATGATAAAATGGCTTTGACTCTCTTGAGATAATTGTTATAATCTAATCAACTTTTAATTGGACGATTGAAACAATTTAAGATTTTTCTACGTTAATTGTTACTAAATTAAGTACCAGAGATAATGAGAGTTGATAGTCTTCATTGATTGTTGCTACTAATCTATTATCAGTCATCTGATTGATATTATCGAACAGGAAATCGAAGGCAAATATTATTAATAATAAATAAAAATATCGTTTAGAACTTTTTTTTGCAAAAAAAAAACGTGTGAAAAAAAATCTACAATTGATAATTGAATCAAATTAAAGATTGTGATGCAATTGCAAGGATAATTAAATTATATTATTGTTCCGAATTAAAATACATGTAGTGTTGATTTCTGTTGATAGATGGAGTCGAAAGTTTAATCAGAATTGATTAACAGATTTTTTTATTAAGTTAATTGAAAGTTGATAAGTTTTCTCAGCTAAATTTTTGTCACGAGCTAAACTCGAGGCTAAAGTTTGACGACAGTCCATAAAGTGCTTACCAGTTACACTATCGAGTGAAGGTTCAACTGCACAATAGACGATAGTTTGTGAGCCCATTTTCGGAGTTCGTAAAAGCGACTGTAATATTGGACAAAGAATACTAGAGTATCGGTCAACCGTCGGATATCTAGTGAAAAGATCAGTGTAAACTCCTCCTGGACACAGTGTATTAATCGTTACATTTTTCTCAATGAGTTTCGGTGCTAAATGAGTAGATATCAACTCGGCGGCGAGTTTGGATTTACAATAACAAATACTTGGGTGATAGAAAGATGTTGAATTTAAATTGTCGATATTGAACCTTAACATACATCGATGGGCTGATGATGTGACGAAAATGATTCTAGATGGACATGAGATTGAAGACTTGATTAATAGAGGTTTAAGGAGATTGATTAAATACAAAGGTCCAAGATGATTAATTTGAATATGCTCTTCGTATCCATCGATTGTTGCTTTCCGTTGAGTTGATCCATTTGAGATTCCAGCATTGTTAATCAAAATGTCCAATCGATCGTTGGTTGAAATGAAATCGTCAACAAATTGTTTGATTAGTCTAAATGATGAAAGATCGCAATACATTGGGACGATATTTAGATTACCAGTTTCTGATTGAATTTCTTGAGCCACTAGTTTAGCGGCTTCTAAATCTCGACAGGCCAGAACAATCTTACCTGCTCCTCGTCGAGCCAATTCTAGGGCAGTCTCTTTACCAAGGGTTCGATTGGATCCGGTAATTATCACAACCTTACCCTCGATTCGCGCTTCCGATGGACACTTGACACCGAACCAATGAGTTAGGTAACTGATACACCCGATGATAAAACGCCAATAATCAACTAATAATGAAATCATTTTGAAAGATGCAAGAAAAAAAATCACTTTAATTGATCACAATTCTACTATTCAATTTAGTGCTCGATTACCATAATTATGTTAACTTATAATTTTGAATGACAATTTAGCTGATTTAACTTCCTCCTTTACACCATGAAATTTGGTTCATAGGAAGACCAATGGATTCATACACTCAACTGTGAATCAATTGATGAGATGAATCATTTTGAATCATTTACAGTTATCTCTTGATTTGATTTAGTTGATTAACTTTGCCAAAAGTTTTTCTTTCAACAGTGATGATTTCTTCTAATAGATGGAGCACAAGTTTGCTTACGAGAAAACTTTTCTCACCGAATTAAATTAAACGAAGTGATAATCATGATGATATATGAATGATAATGTAAAGATGAAGATTAATCAAAACTTCACGTTAACGAATTGTACCCATGTTATTAAAGTTAAATTTCTGAGCTGAATGAATACTTGGTATGGACTCTCGATACTCTAATGAAAGTATCAGAAATGTTGTTCCTTTGCAAGAAAAAAAATTCCAACTGAATGAATATCTATGAAAACCAATAACAATTAGCAAATCAGTGAGAGATTCATGAGATTGCAATTTAAGATTATCACTCAGAATATCAGTCAAATGGATAACAATTGAAGTTGATAGGTAGATCTATTGAACTGATTGTCAATTGTAACAATTAAACACCTACACAGATTTGATTTCTAATTACAAAGTAACAATCAACATTTTAGGAATCATGATTTAACTTTCCTTTTTATGTCAATGATACAATCAAATTAAAGGTTAATCATTAACCAACCCAACAATTCAAAATTAACGGTTTACATTTAAGGTCATCTAATCATAACTTTTATTATAAACAATTACGGTCAATCATTAACTGATGATTATCAACCAATGATTAGTTCACACAAATTATGTCATTGTGATAACAATTTAATAATTGTTAATCAACAAGACAATTGGTTTTTTCTTATCATAATTGTTGCAATTAAAAAGCAGGAAAACCAAAATCTATGATTACAGTTTGAATCTTTTCAATTGGGTAACAATAAATTTGAAAACCAATCTTCACAATTAACTAATTACTTAAGCATGTTGATCACAGTTAAATTAATATACAGCCTCGAAAATTAAGATCAACTACAGGGCTATTCAGCTATTTTTACCAATTTTTTTGCGATTTTCTTAGTAAATGAGAGTCAAAGGACTCGAGACAATTGTCATATAAAAAGATCAAGGTTATTGTTGAAAGAGAGCGTTTCAAGGTCATCTGGAGGTAATGAATGTTCAGAGATACTAATGGCAAATTTTGAGGTTTCTATGAGCTTTACTTTGCACGTCAAGATAAATTTATTGGATAGGAGATTTGCAACAGTTATTCAATTAAACTGTAATATCTCAAGAACTGTGACAACAAAAATCTCTAAACTAATTTTCCAGAGATAAACAATGTGGAAAATAACTATATCACCTTCAGGTGACCTTGAAAGAATTTCCAAGACTTTACAATTTTTCAACACCAAAAGTCCTGAGATAATTTGTATTTACTAGTATATCAGGTCATTATTAATTCAATAATTGAATATCGCTCAGAAACTATGTTATTCTTTATTCTTCTCTTTTCAAGACGTGTCCAATAAATTTGGTAGAAAGTCCTCATTTATGAGTCATTTAAATAAACAGAAATAAATACAATACTTACCATAAAATCGAGATGATCTTTATGAAATAAATCAATAATTTCTCCTTACCTTTCATCAGTATAAAAAATTGTCGCAATTGATAAAACTGATAAAAAATCAAAATAAACAATCATCAGGTTAATCGTTGACATTCATTGTTGAAAGAATTAATAATGACCTAATAGTTACAAATTATCTTAGGATCTCTCTTTACTTATTAATTCAAAATTTATTCTCACTCGTTGTACATTTTTAGCTGCAGAGATATAGCGTTTTTGATGCGAAAATCCTTTTTATTCAACTTTCATTAATCTGCTCGTAACAAAGACTGTGTGAGATTCAAAAAACCTTTTTAATTTAGGCACATGCTTTTTTTAATTTGAATCGATTGTGACCACCAAATGACCTTGAAACCGTATCCTAACAGAATGACCGGAATGACCTTGATATTTTAATATGAAAATTGAGTATGGCCCAAACTACCATAACTTGAGTATGGGGTCTCAACAATCAAAAACAAAAAAGTTATTCAAGAAAAACTTTTTGGAAACTTGGTGAAATGCCCTGTATTAATAAGAAGCGATAAAATCAACTTCAATCATGTTGATCAATTATCAACAATCAGGAAAAAAAAGTAATGAGACTAACAATTAATTGTTGATAAACTTTGTCCTCAGTTAATTTGTTTTAACCATAACAAGGAAACCCGACTCTTAATTACTTTGTTAACAGTTTAATTGTTAATCAAGGATATTTGTGAAATGATAAAATTTACAATTTAACTCAACGAGAAAATCAATATATGCTAATTTTAATTAAATCACTAATTGAAAACATTTCTTTTTATTTGGTTTTTACCTTGATTTAGTTGTTTAGAAATGTTTAATTATTGAATGATTATCTGATCGTCTAAATGATTAACTTAATCACCCTAGAAAAATAAACTTAACCTTGATTATCAGGTCACCAAATCAATTAATTGTTAAGACTATTAATCAAAAAATTACTGACAATTTATACTGATTAACAAGAAAGGGAGAGAGAGAGGATCAGTTTAATTACTTAATTGTTGCTAATTGTAACAGGCATTGATTAACTTGATGTAAACACTTTATAATTTAGGATTAGATTGACAAGAGATGTTAAAACTTTTATCACCTCTTAATTGTGTTGATTTAATTTTTTTATATTACTATTAGTGATCAGTAATAGTAACATTAATTGTCATTTACAATTAAACACTTTCAAAGTGATAAATTTGATTCCAACAATTTAATATACTCAGGAAACTTAATCATGATGATTTACCTTGAGGTAAATACGGATAAACATGATTGGTAATTAAATTGTGACTTTGATTTGAATTTTCAGATTAAATTATTTACCTTTAAAATCAATTTAACTTTGACGATTAATTAATCACCAACTTAAGCAATTAAACAATTAAACAATAAAACGATTTAATTAAAGTTACTAGTCAACTTTTTAATTATTACAATTGCTTTTTCCAGTTGAAATTATCAATTCAGTAATTAATTAAATTTCAATTGTAATTTAATTGCTGAGCATTTGTTTTCATTGTAAATCTTAATTGTTGCTCAATACTTTGCTAGTTAATTGTGTTTCTATTAATGAATTGTAATTAAATCAACAATTTAATTGCAGTTTAGTTTGAGACGATTTGCAACTTTAATGGTGAAAGAATCAACAAAATCATTAATCTTTGACAATGAGATTAAAAGATAATCCATTTGATAGTTTAATCCTTTGTCTACCTTGATGATCAAGTGGAATTAGCAAAAAAAAACTCACAATTAGATTACAACAATCAGCTTATTGTTTGAATACATAATTGATTGGGAATCGATTGGTGATAAAAATGAATTAACTTTGAATCTTCACTCGTTTAATTGTTGACGGATTTATTTACCGTTGTTGTTCTTGTAAAAACAAATTAATTGTTTCGAAATAATTATCATAATTAACTGATCATTTTCACCTTCAAGTAAATTAATTCTGAAGAAAAAAAAACTCTGAAACTACAATTTAATCATTGACTTTACAATTAAATTCAGTGAGATGATGATGATTAATAATATTTGAAGATGATCATGTTAATATTAAGAAGCAATGAAAAAAGAAAACAATGAAATAAAATTAACTAATTGTTAGACCTTGATGGTTGCTGTCAGCTTACAATAATAACGGTAAATTGAAATTTAAATTGTTAATCAAGCTAATTGTTGGTTAAGATGAAGCTTAAAATAAGGTTAACATTAATTCATGTACACTTGAGGCTATCATGATACAAGCTACTTATCATCAATTGAATGCAAGGTTGGGATGATAGAGAAAGAGATAAATTTAATCATTATCATCTTAATATCTTTGGGTTGGCCTTTCGATTTTCGTATTAACCGTTATGTTCAATGTTCACTCGAACTTGATGGTTTACCAAGAAAGAGAAATCGAAAGAGACGAAGAAAAAACTTCAACCCTTTTAATTTTTCTTTCTTTTATTTTTCCTTCTTTTTTTTACCATTCGAATGTACAAAACATGATCAATTCCTTAATAGAGAAGAAGAAGAAGAAAATCTTCCAAGAACTTTCGTCGAACATGATGATGAATATTAACCTTCTCACTTTCGTTTTTTTCTCCACCTCTTACAGGCGGACACCGAACAATCTCATTTCTCACCAACTATTTTCTATTGTTGGAATATAGCCTTAAGTTCAGCCTTCTTTAAGTTCGAAACCTACGAACTAAATTATCGATACTCACTTTTTCTCTCTCTCTCACTCACTCTTTTGGTATATAAGAAGGTATGAATTCGAGTTGAAATTCATTCGATTCGACAATCAGTTTTATTAATCTTCTTACAATCTTTTAAATTTTGTTCGTTGTTTAATCAACCACCATCTAAATCTAAAATCAAAATGATGTTCATCGCCGTTATCGCTTCAATCATCGCTGTTGCCCAAGCCGGTATCTTAGCTGCTCCAGCTTACGCCGCTGCTCCAGTTGCCTATGCTCCAGCTTACGCTCATGCCCCAATCGTCAAGGCTCCAATTGTCTTACCTAACATCGTTACATCATACTCAAGCTCAGTCTCCCACTTGGCCCCAGTCCATGCTGCCCCAGTTGTCGCTAAAGTAGCTGCCCCAGTCTTTGCCGCTCCAGCTTACGCTGCTGCCCCACTCCCATACGCCGCTGCTCCAGTTGTCCACAAAGTAGCTGCCCCAGTCCTCGCTGCTCCAGCTTACGCTGCCGCCCCACTCCCATACGCTGCTGCTCCAGCTTTCGCTCATGCCCCAGTCGCCAAAATCGTTGTTTAAATAAGTGATCAAACTAATTGTTAAATTTGTTATTCTCTGTTCACAAAATTGACCAAAAAAAACACCACCACCACCACCAACACTGCCCGGAGTAGGAATAGTTTACCCATTCCAACACTTCATTTCCTCCACTTCCTGTTACCATTTCCCTCTCACCCTGGAATCCATTTTCCACCATCAGTGAGTCCAGTTTCAAAATTCATTTTCTCAGTCACCAGCTTCCAGTTTCATGATAATCCATCATGATAAACTTTAAACTCTGATAAAAGAAAACCGATTCATTGGGATTTACTTCATTCATCAGTTAATTTTACAATTTTCTGCATTCATCTAAATTAAAAACATCTTCGTTAATTTAATCACCATTCCGGTTTATAAAGGCAGAACAATTAATTAATTGTCATCTAAATTAATAACTGATAACGAACCAAAAATCTTAATATAACATCAAATAAAATGAATCAAGTTTATTTTTCGTAAAAAAAACAATTTCATTCAAAAATTTAATCACTCGTGAAAACTATTAACAAATTGTTCATTCATAATTATTATTATGGACATTTTCAATTGCATCATCAGTGAGGCAACTCAAATGATTAACTAATTGTGATAAGTCAATTGTAATCATGTTTGAATAATACAAATTTAATTGGTTTCAATGTTTTGGAAATGATTTTACAAACAAATTGATGATAAAATGAACGATTCTGATGAAATCTGAATGAACATGGAAACGATTAACATGAACTTTAATGATTCCACCATTGTGAACAATCATTACCATCGGTTCAGAATATTGAATTCATGATAAATGTTAAGCTGAATTCAAGTTGAATCTTTGATACCTGATATGTGATATTATTTGGAACTTTTTGTTTCTTTCGAAAAAGTTTACGAACTTTTAATGTTTTCGATCCATTGACTTCGAATATGAATAGATTGATCATTTTACTTTTTTCGAGAAAAAAAATCTACAAATCAAAATGTTCTAGTCAAAGTAATAAGTTGAAACTTTGTTCCAATTCATATTCCAAGGGAAAGTTCAATCAAATCGTGGGTAAGATATAAACTTTTTTCTGGAACTACAATTGTATTTGTAACTGAAATTGAACGAATTTTTAATTTTTCGAGCTTTTTTATGACCTTCATCCACTGGACACACCGATATCGTGGTCAGTACTACCTGTCAATTAGAACTGATAAAATCAAGTTGACCTCTTTTCTTTAAAAAATTTGATTGATTTGTTTCAATTTCAAATGATAGTCGATTCGAAGCTCGATCGAAACAATAATAATCCAATTTAGAACCAAAAAAAACTGGTTCGAATATAAAACCAGTAGATTTTCAGTTCGATGAAAAATTATCTCTTCTAGATTAATCGATAGATTAATTAATATATATTTTGGGCTTAATCATCTGGTATCTTATAATTAATAGCATCAGTCGATTATCGAGCTTTGTTCAAATGTTCAAAATGTCTTTCAATTTTTTTCCTTTATTCCAAATCGATTGGGTTAACAGAGACTAACTTATCAAGCAAAGCTCATAACAGTAAAGCTTAACAACAATCGTAATTAATGATTCGATTCCCCAAAAATGAACCAAAATATTGATTAAATTAACGAAAACTCCCAAGAGATTATCAGTATTCATCGAAATCGACGCAAAGAATTTGCTAAAGAAAATGAAAGTTCGATGAAAGATCTCTAGTAGTTTAATCATAATCGTTCTCGGCTGAAATGGAGATTCGATATTTGATATTTTTGATATTCTACCAGATTTCGTTCTCTATCAATGAAAAGTAAAGAACCTTTTTGATGATGTATATTTCCAATTCGAAGCTTGAGTTTCAGGTTAGCCAACCATGAATTTGACATAATAATAATATCATGATAAAAGTATAATAATAATGATGAATACAAAGTGGACAACAGAAAGAAAAATATTCTTTCGAATTTATTTTTCTCTCTATCTCATTTTTTCCTCGATCGATTCTGTTTTCCATTTGAATTGACTGTTTTGAACAATAATCTAACCACAATGTTCACTTTTGGTTCCAGTTGACTCAAAGTTTCCCTCCAAAACAAAAAAAGCTCGAGAGCCTATGATTATATGAGACGATAATTAACTTTAACTGCTAATATAATAAATTGATTGAAACAATTTTTATGAGATTCTGTCTCCGGTTGCATGATTGTTCAGTAAATTGTGTTAATTGTTGAATGAAATGGTTGAAATGGAAACAAGAAAAGTTTTTCTTTATTTTGGTAAAGAAACACTAAATTCAATTTCATCTCTGTAAACTAATCACATGGAGATAGTGGATCGATGTTAAGATTATTGTGGGTAAAGAGAGAGAGAGAGAGAGAGAAAAGATGCGGATGATATTTAGAAAAAGCATCTTTGAACAATCTCAATGGTGAATTGCAATTGATTTGTGACCTCAAGAAAAGGATGAAGATGATGCGGAGGAGGAGAAGGAGAAACAGGAAGACAAGAAGTGAAGAAAAAAAGAATAAGAATGAATAAGAATGAGATGATGATGATGAAAAGAAGAAAAAACAAAAAGAGAATCGGAAAAGGATGAGAGAGAAATGATGATGATGATGATGGAGAATGTAGAAGATACGATGAAGATGGAAGAGAGTGTCATGGAAAATCATCACCCACAAAATCGAGAAAGGGTAAGAACATTTTTCTCAGTACTCTTTTCCTCCGCTGTTGAAGATTCTAAATTCTTAGCCATTAACCAAAGATCAAAGTGTTAACTCGAAATGTCACCAAGAGGTCGAATTGGTTTCTCCATTATTTTATTTCTTTTCTTCAAATAGAAATATGTATCTTTTCTTACGGAGGGATAAGTTAAACCTCGAAACTGTTCTTGTATGGGACAGAAGAATTAGTTTCTTTATTTGGTATCTGGATGAGGAACAAAAAGTTCTAAAAGAGGAAAAAGAGGGTGAAAAAAAATTCGACAAAGAAAATATTCTCCAGTTCTGAGTTCTCTAAGTATCTCATGGAGCTCTTTAGATAATTCAGATTCTCATAGAGTAACCAGAGAGTTTGCCTAGTCTCTTTTAAGCTCACTTGATATTCTCATGATCTCTCTTTCTCTCTCTCTCATCATTATCATCATCATTTTCGTCTTCCTGCCTTTGTAGCATAAAAAATTTCTCTAGTTCGACTTATGGATAGAATTTTTTTTTCTATCTCTGAAACTCTCATGAGATTGTTGATGTTCATCCTTCCCTCTCTTTTTATTTCTTTCTCTTCAACATCATACTCATCATCTTAATCATCAAAGTCAACACAATGTCCAAAACTGAATCATTGTAACGGTTTCAATTCCGTCCATTTACAAAGTCACTTTGTTACTTTTTCATCTTCTTATCAACTAAATGATCACCAATCATGAAGATAATGATTGAAAACAATATTAACCTTTCAAGGGAATCATTCAAATCTTGACCAGTGTCAACATTTTCCGTCAATTCGACCAGTTTCAAAATTCCAACAGGTTAATTGTTCAGCTAATAAACATACACACACACACACACACACACTCTCTCTCTCTCTCTCTCTCTCTCCACTATTCTCACTACATCATGTCCAAAATATTCAGCATCTCATATACTAAACAAAATGTTCATCATTCTCATCATGCTCATCAACAGCAAATAGATGAAGATTCAAGTGATGATGCCGATGATTCACCGAGATCCATGGATTCTGGTGATAGTGCAACGGCGATTAGGATTAAACGATTTCCATTTGAAAAGAAAAGTCCAAAAAAAGATAATTTCTCGCAAAAAGGTAAGCCGAACAATCAATTTTAATTGCCAACAAAGGAACATCAATTCCCTGTAACAATCAACTGAAAATGAACACATTGGATTATATTAATTTCATTTACAAAAACAGTGGAAATAGTTAATTGTTGGTTTAATCAAATTCAGTGAACAGTGTAATGGAAATGGTGAAAGTTAACCAAGCAATTAGTGATTTCTAAATTGTATTAATATTTGTGATCATCTAAACTGATGGTTATCAAGAGGATCAATTATTTAAATTAAATTCTGTTCACGATTAACTTCAATGAGTTGAATTGTTAATTGATCACAATTTCATCATTCTAATGTATTGATTGATACAATTAAACTGTAATCAACTCTATTGTGTGAATCAATTTATGTACAATTTGTTTCCAACTAAATTGATTAACAGAATTGATTTCCGATCTGATTAAGTTACTATTTAATTCATAATTAAATTGGTTTCATTAGATCACAATTAACTTTTAGATTGTAGCAATTAGAGAGATAAAAATTTAGTCTCATCAATTTCAAACGATATTTTTAATCAATGTAAACTTAATTAGTTAAATGATGAAAATTGATTGTTCAACAATTAACTGGTTAATTGTTTTGTAGATAAACCTTTTTTGTTGGTTAATTTAAAATTGAAACAATTGACTTTTAATCATTTACATTGAAACTTTAATCACAATCAGAAATAAAAAAACCTTGACATTAATTTAGTTATAACAATTTGAAGTGATTAGCATTTAAATTTTAATCATACTTGTGATTGATTGATTGATTTAAAAGACAAAATTGAGACAATTAAATTGTTTGACCTTAAATTGTTATTATAATTTAATTTTCAAGATGATATGATTTGTATTACACAATTTTAATCACAATCTAAATTGTGATTTATCCTCAACAATCAACTTTTGTTTCAAACTTTCCAATTGATTAGATTGACCTTAAAAGTAAGAGGATTTTAATTTCATACTGGTTAATAATCATGATTTTGATTAATTCAAATTTTCATAATCAATAATTTATACATACAATTAGCAATTGATTGATTGTTGCTGGTCAAGTAACTGGTTAATTTCAATCAGCAAACTTCATGATATCAATTGATATTATCGTTACTCATTTCTATCTTGATAATTGTTTTTTCGTTGTTGTTGTGTTAATTGTTTACCAAAAAATATGAATACTGTTGACCATCAGCTGACCATGGTTCAAATCAGCATTTCCTGTTGATCAGCTGATTATCTCAGATGAACTTGTATGATATTCGGCTGATGGTGAACATTCAGAAAGAAAAATGAGCTGAAAGTTATTCATCTTTTTCTGTGCTCATTCCATTAACATGGAAATTGAATAAAGTTCATGATGAATGAGAATTTTGATCGATAACAGAAACAGGAAAAGAAAACATTTCTTCAACTTTTCTTTTGTGTTTTCGACAAACTGGACATTTATTTTTCGAGTTATAAGTTCGAAAAAAAAGAAAAGAGAAACAAAAAGACAAAGAGTCATGATGTAAGCATGGAAAGTTCAAACTATCACATCGAATGTCAACATTTTCGTCGAACCTGTAACATGTTCAACTTCGAATTCATATATTAATAGTCTATTGTTTACATGATTCGATTGGAAATTGCAAGTTCTTCAAGAAGAATGAGAAGTTC